TTAAAATAACCAAGCAAATCTTATTTACCAAATATTTTTAATTAAATTAGTATTGAAAAAATTAATGAATTTAATTTCGGTCTATCGGAGATACGTAAAACAGATGTGAAGCAGTTCATTTCAATATTAAGAATTCCAAAAATTAATTACTTAGCAAAATTAAATAGCTTACGTTAAAATAATTTCATAACAATTTACATTACGAAATGAACAAAAGTTACATATGAAATATATTTTAAAAAAGCAATTTCCATCTCTATTAGAAGCTTAGTACATTAGCACTTTTGTAATTTGTATGGAAAACCATCTGTATAGAATTTTTCGTTTAATAAGTTTTAATCATGTGTGGAATGGAGACGTATTTTCAATTTTGATTTATATATTTTGTAAATTACACAAATAACATAAAATTTAATATACTTAAGCTACTCTTCTTACCTTCTCAAGATTGTTTATATAAAAATATATTTATATTTGGTTAAGTAAATCAGAGACACTTAGAGCAAAAGGGAAAACTTGATGATTCTTGATAACATAAAGTACTTTTATCTGAAGTACATTGCACTAGGACTATTGGTTACCTTAGGTTAGGTGGGAGTGGCGGCTTTGTATACCAAGGTTCACCTGACTTCAAATAGTGGTCCGTTGTAAAACCACAGAATTGGTTACCTTACTAATCTGAAATATTTGTTTACTAATTTCCTTGATGATGACTTTAGTATAAAATACCGAATATGATAAAAGTTAATTAAACAAAAATTAAATAGTCTTAATACGAGGAATATAGATACTAACTTTGATTCTATTCAAACAAACTACAACTTAAATACTAAGTGAAATAAAACCGAAAAACAGATATATATTAAAAAATATAAGATAGGTATATAATATATGTATAATATATATAATATAGATGAAAACAACTCCTAATAGCTCGATACTTTTAATATCGACTCAAAAGTCGGCCATAGAAACTGGAAATAACTGAAAACGAACCCAACAGTTTGAAATAGTTTCGAGATAAATATGATCCAACAATTATTTAAAAAATTGACACGATCGACTATAATTTTTGAAGCTCTTCGAATACAAAAATATACATATTAGTAACCAAATTTAATGGATTAAAAATTGGTACGGATATATTTCCTAGACTATTTTGGTAAAAAATTATATATAAGGTTTTAATGGTATTTTTTCCCTTATAGGCATTTAACAATGTGTTAACATTAAATATGGACCCCTCCTCAATGGATTTTTCATATCGTGGACGAAGAAACCATCCACCATCCACCTTCCACTTTAATTTTACATTGTAAAGAAACACCTAGCAAATGAAGTTACACACAATATTCTATGGCTTAAATTTATATAATTAAAGCAAAACAGATGCCATACTACCAGAAATTCAATAATAAAAATTATATGCAAATAAACTCTTATGTTTTCTAGTAATTAACTACCATTGTTCCTTATTTCTTTGCAAATATAAATAAAAATATTTGATTTGTGAATTTTTAGTCAACAAAAATAAATTAATAAATAAATAAGAAATATTGTGATATTTGCCCAAATGTTATTCTTGCTAACTAATCGGAAAAGAAATGTCACATGAGAAGAAAGTAAAATACAGTGTTCGCTCAAAGGCATTTACTAATAAGAGCCAAAGTTTAGTTCATGTTAAAAAGCTAACACTAATTGTTCGCCGTTTTACAATCACATTCCTTGCAAAAAATCTAAGGCGATAAAATGAAGAGCTTTCTTTAAGTTTACATAATTTAAAAGGTCTTTCGTACTTAAAGATAAACAGTCTGACAAACTTTAAAAAAGGAATAATTCCATAAATATCTGTTACATTTGGAAGTTAAGGCTGTACAATCACAGAGAAAATTGATAATTATTACTTTTTCCTATAACTTTCAAAAATTTCTGCTGTTAGTATTTATCAAACAAAAAATATCTGAGCATACGTAAACAAAATTGAACAGTTAAACACTTCTGTCAAACCTCGAGATCAAACTGGTCCAACTGATCAAAAAAGGTGCTAGTCAACTGGTTTAATTATGAGTTTGGGTCTACCCAATAATAACATTTGTCGTAATTGGGGCACTGCAGATAAGAAGAAAACTATACTATGTTCTTGTGTTAGTGTCCATCACTGACTAGACGATTTAAAAAGAGCTGTCATCCTAGAAAATTAGCGACTTCATTAAATTTATAGGCTTGTCAGGTCAATTCACTTTCACTTGAATGTGGAGGTCGTGCCTTCTAACATTGTTAGAACCTTTCAGTCTGATACCACAGCAAGCCATTATTTGAGTTCAAGTGAGCTTTAAATACAAGATCGCCACTCCAACCTAACTTAACCTAAGTGTAAGTATTTAAAGAAATTCACATCAGTGACCAGAAAGCACTGCACTAAAACTTGCAATGTTCACACAATCTCTTTTAATAAGTTTCCAATATCTGGTTGTGTTATATGAAGGCCAGGTTAACCGAAAAGTTACACTCGACCTGAATGTCTTACATTTCTTATTAGCAAGCTTGTGACCAGAGAGAATTACAGTACACTTCATTGTATTCTCACGATGCCTTTTAACACGTTCACAAGATTTGGATCAGTTATATTAACGTTAGGTAAACTAGAAAGTTACACAAACTTAAATGTCTTGCATTTCTTATTGGCAAATCACTAAGAAAATGCTTGTCTCTTGTACGTTTCACAACTACAGTAAGTACTTCATTGAGAACAACACTTCTGCAGTATTAAAAAGAATGCACAGTTTCTCTATGTGGCTTCCTACACATCAGTGTCCAGAAAGAATAACAGTAAACCTTACAGTACTCACACGGTCTCTTCTAATGAGTTCCTAAGATCTAACCCTGTTATAAGCCAAGTTACTCGATAAGTCACACATGACCTTAATGTCTTCAATTTTTTATTGGTAGTATATAAGTTTAATGAGTTTCCGAAATCAAGTACTATTAGCCAGGTTAACCGGAACGTCACATATGAACTAATTATCTTTTTTTTATTTACTAGTAGGCAATTTCAGAAAAATAGAAGTATTTCTTTTAACAAAATCCAAGGGAACACAATACGGCATCCCTAGAGAATCAGCCAGGAAAGCAAGAAGGTGTGCCAACCTGTATGCTTTATATTAATTTGATTATATAGGTTTTTTGAACAATAGTGAACTACAACAACAGAAATTAATTATATATTATTTTAATTAATTGAATTTTTAGCTGAACATACCCATCATCAGTGGTCTTGGAAATAATTCTCGTATTGAATTATTCGTAAATAACATTTTGAGTGTGCAAGTGCCAGAAATCAAACTTGTGCCCTGCCAAATTTGAAGTTTAGAGTCAGCGCACTTTAACCAACTGACACAAAGCCGTACTTGAAGTTTTGTTACTTTTACTATGAAAGTTTTATTAACAAATTCACTTGCTGTGTTTATATTAGAACGAAATCATAAACCAGCTGTAGAATAATGGAATTAATTAATTATATTTTTATTTTTAATTGTTAAATTTCAATACAATTCTGTTTGTGGAGGCATTATTTGTTGCATGATTTATATAGAACCTAATCTAGAAACGTAATACTGAGAAAGTCATGCTAATGTTACTCCACGAGTGAAATTTACATAATTTTGTTATGTAAATATGTATTTAAATAAATTGCAATATTATATATGCACAAAATAATTATTTGAAAAAATTTTATTATGACCTCAGAACACTAAAATTCAACTTTTGTTGAAAAAGAACGAATGGCTGGCTATTATATTTTGTACTTTACAATTTGCATTTCCTCTTGTTTGGCTTTTTTCACAATAATTATTATAAACACTGAATAAAAAAAAAAAGTAAAAATAAAATTGTATGAGAATACTTATGCCACCACTTGACAGCACAAACACAGAATTATAAAAATAAAAATAAAAACAAAAACAAAAACATATTACATATGGTAGTCAGTCACACCAACTTTTCACCTGGCTCAAAGAAAATTCAAAAAAAAGAAAAAGAAAAAATAAAAGCGTAAAAACGTAAAAGAAATAAAAACACAATAACATAAATGCAAAATTAAGAAGAAAAGGCTGCTGCTGTCGAAACAATGAGAGTGAGAGGGCGTTAAAAGCCGAAAGCCGAATATGGGAGTAAAGAGGCAAGCTTACGCGACTGTTGTACAAGAAAAGAATGGCAGCAACAGCAACAGCAAACAACAAGAACGGCACTAACAATAAAAATGAAGAGAATATAATATAAAATAAAATAAAAGCATACAAATTTGCCAACGTACGTACTATAATTTAATTAAATAAATATGTTGTGAATAAATTAAATAAAAAAAAACCGTTTTTATGGAGTACATAGAATAACTTGAGATTCTTTTATTACACATTATTCTTTTAGATATTTTAGAATTATAACAATATGTTCCCCGCCAGTTTATAGGAAGCTACAAAAATGTCAGAAAATTAAAAACATGTAGGAAAGACATTTAACATTTAACGTTGACATGCATACACACACACGCACATACATGCATACTAGCACAAACGAGCTGTGCAGAAGCATGAAAACAGTAAAGTGTCAAGTACAAAATTATTAAGTGCGTTCGAAAGCACTTGAATAAATTGCGTAAAATTAGCTTAGCATTAGAGAAATGAAAAAAGTGCCAATTAAGAACATTCCAATTGAATGGTGTAAGTACAATACATAGGATACATAGGAGGAGGAGAAATATTATAAACCATTTAATCAGCAGCTTACATCACTATATCCATGAATTTGCCCATCCTCCACTGCTTCAGCCATATTGTTTGTTTGTTGTTAATAATATTTGTGGAAATTATAACTTCAGCAATAACAACAACAACAGCA